GAGCTGGGGAATGTCTCATTTTAATCAGAAATGTGCGCGCTACAATTATATCTTATTTAAAAATGTTTTGGTTATTTCTGAAAGTTTCTGAAAAACTGGTTTTCTAGAAAACTGGATCTTCAAGAAACATTGGGAAAAATGCTTTATGCCACTAGAATCAGCTGGTCAAGCTCTATGGATTGGGATACCCCTCGTTAGCATCTGTGATTAACACTTGGGATAGTTCCCTCGTAAGAATTTTCTACATCCTTCGTCTATCAAAAAGTCATTCTATATTTACCTAGATGTCCGTCTAATCGTTGTGACACTTGCTGTTTTCGAAGATCCCATATTTTAATTGAATTATCAATACCACCCGATATAACTGCTTCACTCGTCGACGAGTAACAACATGTTAAAACTTGATAGGTACATTCTAATGTCATTACTTCACCTCGTTTTCTTCTATCCCATATTTTTACTGTGCCGTCATCGGATCCCGTACATAACATTTCTTTACCCGTACGTGAATAACTCACAGAATTAACAAAAGATTTGTGACCTTTTAACTTCTTAACACGTTGACACGTTGCAATATCCCATATAAATGCTAATTTATCTAAACAGAAAGAAAGATAAGCAGTGATACAATCAAATAGAAAAATAGAACCGCGATAGACTCTCTAAAATCTCATGAGAATTACATCTTTTAGCATTTTTATGTAATTACCTGTTGCACATGATGCTAATTCTGAACCATCTGGTGACCATTGTATTTCCATAATGGCTCCTCCATGTCCTGTGAGTACCGCCCAATTCAAACATTGCTCATAAACGTTCCATAAAAATATTTTGCGATCAAATCCTGCTGTTGCTAATATTTCACCATCCGATTGAAATTTACAACAAAATACTTCACTTTCATGACCTTGTAATAACATAATAGGTGAATATAATCTACTTGAACGTGGACGAGATGGTATTGTCGTGATAGCTAATTCTGTACGTGCTTGTTTGACATGTGGTTGTTGCGGACCAACCGGAACCAAAGCACCATCATTTGGACGTTTTAAACTCATATCGAGATTTTAAGAAAAAGATTTACAATAAAGAAAAAACGATCTGAAATTCAGTAGATTCACCACACGAAAAAAAAAACATGTTCAGATTACAACACATAACACAAAGAAATATACTTTCGATAAATTACAGCATCATTATACACAGAATCATACTGTCAGGAAAATTCAAGTACAATATGGTAGACAACAATATAAATAGTCATATATATTCTCTTTTGAATGCCGGAGTAACTTTATTCCGCTTCGCTCATTTCTATTCTTTTCAAGTTTACTTTAAACATTTTTCTGCATATCCTACTACAAATATGTTATATATTCTAGCAAAATTACAGTGGATTATGAGCAAGAATTCAAAACATAATTGATTGTTTAATTTCATTCTAAGCACGCATAGTAAAAGGTATATGATTGCACAAGGAAAGAATAAAAAATTTTCTTACAAAGGTAGAATGACATTCAATTCTTTTTTGCCCTTTAATAATCAACAAAACACATTTTCATAGTTTGTCAACGATGGGAATAATTTTTAATTATTATGAGGATACATCCCAATGTATATGGCCGTTCCGACAGATATTTGTGTTGTTGTAGATACTTTTTATTTTCTCTAGAACTGACACAAACACAGACCAATTAGAGAGAGCGGTGAAAAAGTTGATTACTCATACAAATCGCTCGTTTCCATTTATCCAAGAAGAAATTTTTGTATCTCGATTTTGTCCCGTCATTCGTGACGTAAACTCTCTTACAAAACAAAATTTAATAGACATATCATTTTTCCAGGTAATATAAGAAGAAGAGGTGTATCCCACAGGTGTCTCAAAACAATCATATCAGATGAAAAAAAGATCACACCCTAAACTAATATCCAAAAAAACAAAAAAGAATAACGAGTTGAGTACATATTTCTTATCATCAAAAAAAAGCTTAATTCCTTCAGATTACTGATGTTATCAAATGGTACTGAAAAGACCGTCAAGAAGAGCAACATGAACAAACCTTTAAAACTCTTGTATTCCAATGATGTTCAGTAGATGATGGAAGATGACTATGACCATTTGTATGGGATGGTTTTAAATCCATTCTTTTTTTAGATTAATAGAATATGATAACACAAATAATGTATAAAAATGACGGAAAATAATGCTTTGACAGATAGGTAGTCACAAATATAATGAAATAGTAATTTAAACGTTGGTCTTCTTTGATTGAGCAGAATGAGACAGAAACAAAGCTGTGACAACACTTTCTGACAATTTGTGATGAAATTTTATCGTTTCTCTTCTTCTTAGTACATCACATATATTTATAAGGGTATACTTGATTTGTAACTGAAGAAAGAAGAAACTTCTACATGACTAAATAATCAGCTGACGATCACGGAGTGCAAAAAAAGAAGAGAAGTAAAAAGAATTGCTACCACATAAATACATCATACGCGGTCGAGATGCAAAATAAAGAAAGAAAGAAAAATGATAGAAAATCTAGTTGGTCGTGTATAAATGAATAAAATAAAGTCTTACATTAATTCAAATGGGGAGCACATTTTTACTCATAAAATGGCATCCCGAATATTACTAGAAAATTTTTTTTACAACAAAAAATTAATTGCTTTATGGTCGGTCATAAATTATGAAAGCTAGAAATCAAAATCTCCTATTCACATACATCATAATTAAAGAACAATCTCCGAAGTTCTTTCTAATCTTCATATTTAATGGAAATACATTTTAAGCTAGTGCGTATTAGAAGACATATGTTTATTGTTGAAAAAACTATCTGATCTGTCTCTAAAATCATCTCTGCCAACAAAACTAGGCCCATGTGGTGAAAACCGCTCGAAAACCGACGGTTTTCACAACATGAGCACTCTCAGGTCTATGTGAAGTGTAATGCGCTGTCAAGGTACCACATAAATCACATCCATTTATTAAAAAACAAGATACTTTCAATTTATCATACTTAACATATTTTTATTACCATTTCAATTCAAACAGAAAACACACTATAGCCTATAGAGTTTTAATCCAATAATAAAATGGAATCGAAAAAATGAAAACACATTTTATCTAGGAGGACAATTCGAATGCAATCTTTAACAATAGAAATACTTTACACCTACACAAAACTTTATTCCTTATTGAGGTAATATAACCATACTGGAGGAAACTACAGTTATTTACCTTGTGAAGACGAACGGAACTCACGTCTCATATGAAAGAATCTTTATGTATTTAACTATTAATCCAACGCAAACTCTGGCATGGTAGCAAAATAATTCAATGGCTCTTACATCGATTTAATTGATAGTTGAACTTACAATAGCAGATTTCAGAAGAGGATATTCAACGTTTATTCTAAACGTCTCAATATATCAATCATCTTTTTATGAAACTCTACTCTATTGTTCCTAAGAAAAAGGTCAAGTTTATACTAAAAAACTATGAATAAGCGATCTAGACTCTGTCCTTATACATCTATCAATTAGCGTACATAGTATGTAGAAATTCTGAAGGTTTTCTGAGATTTTATCCTAAACTCTTCAGTCATGAATGATCGAACATTAAGAGAAATAATCTCTTATAGTTCGATAAAGTAACTGGAGGGTATTCCTAGTAGAATCCTACAGAGCAGTCCCGAATCCCGATGCGTTGATCCCGTTCTTCAAGACAAGCATCGGTTGAGTTTGGGGCAACGGCGGAACAAGACTGTCCCGTAGATTTTATCTTTTGCTTGTAATTATGTTGCAACTTCAAATGTTTAGTTCCTGTAATCTACCAAATCAGAGTCGTAATGTTGTAAAAACTAATCAAAAGAGGCGAAAGAGTTTAAATTTAAACTTGAGAAAATGTCTAACATCAGACTCAATCTAACAAGACTCATTTTATCATTCGTTTGTTTTTTATTCGAAACTAGTAAGTATACGTAAAACATATTCATAAAAGAACTTTAAAGTTTCGAATTAAATAAATTGGACTTCAACTTTGTCATGGGAATATTGCAAAGAATAAGTTGAGAGTTTAAAGTAAAATACAAAGCTGAAGTTTAGCTTACAATAAGCAGTTGTACGAAGCGATGCTGTCAGTGGGGAGATCTTTCACTCCCACCTAAGCACTCAAGCGCTTCTTGTCACAATTATCTCAAACGACGAGACGGAACGAAGAATACTATAAGTTTTTTCTACCGAAAAGACGAGTTCAGGACAACATTTTTCGTTTACGAGTTTGGGTTTACACGGCAAAAAAACAAGTTTTGCTTGAGGTTGGGCTCCGGGAACCAAAAGAGTTTGTCCTGTAAGGCTCTAATTTCTAGTCCCGTACGAGACTGATATGTCAAGATTTTCTTGTAGTTTCGACAGTTCCATTCAGATTATCTTTTTTCATTGTCGTACTAAATCAAACATCCTCTTTGTAACAGATTTTCTCTACAATCTTGCTATTTTTTTCTCTCGTCGATATTTCTAAATTTATTGTATGTTATCTTAACGTCATTTAGATAATACTATTACAAGTGCATATTGTTACTTAAATTATCTTTATTTTTTAACAAAAAAATAGCCATGCAAAAATGATTACTCTTCTTTTTAAATATTAATTTTGAAAACTAACCTTTTCGATCGACTATTCGTGACTGTTGCTGTTTACGAGAGTGGATTATTTTTTTATTAAAGAGTCATTTATCAAAAACGTCTACAGTGTATATGAGATGGGTATACATCAATCATACTGAAGAAATTTGTCTCTCTAAATCTATTTAAACCTTAATTTAAAAAGGCAAGGATTTGCTTTCAAAGAACATTGTATTATTCAACAGATTAATATTTTCTACCAATCTTTACGAACGCTCCAAGCTTAGATAATGTCTGTCTATCCTGTTTTAAAATGATATAGAATAGTCCATCTTTTATGAACATCTCCAAAGATGTTTTTTTTTCTTTTTTTGTGTATGTGCAAATGTCTGTGTTTTCCGTTTGTAAGAAGGAAAGAAATATTTTTAGTTGTTTATTTGGCGAGAATAGAGGAAAAGCAAGACTCTACTATCTGTATGTATTTCAAACATTTTCTCATAAAAATATATATACGAATATGATGATTAGTTGTTTTTTTTCAATAATGGAAAGAAGAAAAGAAAACGAAAACACAACACACATACTATTTCCAAGGACAAAGAAAGCAAAAATAAGATATTTTTTCCTTCAACAAGACAAAAAAAAAAATCAAAGACTTTTCTCAGCAAGTTGATGCATACTCATAAAGGTTAATAAAAGTACATCGTGTTCTTTATTTTCATCATCTGTCTGAGATTTATTTTATACAACTTAGAATTCAATAAAATATTAAAATTCATGTAATACATTGTATCTGAAATACATCTAACTTAGATAGGAAAGATTACTGAGCTAATTTTTAAAAATATACAATTTTTCTAAAACTTTCTTTATGTAAAATAAAATAAATAATTTGTTTAATGATTAGCCGTTATTTCATCGTATTATACCTACAAATTTCCAACCCACTATTCTTTGTTATATTTCATTTACAGCGCGAACAAAGTCAATATTTCTTTCTTTTTTTAATGTTTTATCTCTCTCAGCCTCTAATACCGATCGAACATCCTTTACTTCAGATTAACCATTATAACTTTCGAATTCTAGCAGTTACAAGAAACCAAAAATCAAGATGAGTGTAAACGACATTTAATTCGAATTTCGTGTCGTCAAATCCATAAAAAAAAAAGAAGACAAGTCAGCAAAAAGATTTTCTTTTTTTTTCTCTCTCTCACAGATACACACAAAATACATACGCACATACACATACATCCATCTCACTTACGTCTAGATTTCAAATTTTGATCACAAAAAGAAAACTGTTGCTTATATAGAGAAGAAAATAATGTTTTCTAAATAAAAAAGAAAAGAGTTCATCTGGATTTCTAATAAACAACAAGAAAAAAAGTTTAAAAAAAAGAAACAAATATTTTATAGCCAGATAAATAAGAGTTTAATTCGAAAATTTTCCAACCAATGCGTGTTGTACCGATTGTAATTGATCAGTTAATTTTGTTATAGCGCCATAGCGAGCGATGCCTTGAATATTCTGTTGTTGATTCAATTCTAACACCTAGATAGTAGAATAAAGTCTTCTATTATAATAGAAAAAAAATAGAATAAGTATTTTTCAGTTTTTAGAAGAAATTAACAGGAATATAGAAACGAATCGATAAATAGAGATGCCTTTGTCTCAACGGTCTTCGGAGAAAGAATTTAAAAAAGAAAATGTTACAATGAGTCATCACTGACACTCATATACAAGATACTTACATGATTCACTTGGTCAACTTTTCCCGTTATCATCTGATCAAGAATACACGTAATTAATAAATTTTCAACATCTTGCATATCAATATTTAATTCTTTGGCTATAAAATCAATTCTGATTTTTGTATATGGTTTTATTAATTTAATCAATACTTTTGTACGAATATTTCGCAATAAAATTTCAATATGTTCACGTATAAATTGATCATCCATAATTGTTTGACGATTTTGTTTTAAAATCAATTCAAATTCTTTAATATCATTATTTTGATAAGCATTAACTAAATTAGTCATGGCTACAATTTCTGGATCAGTTTTATATGGTTTTGCTTCTTGTGAATCAAATGGATTTATGCCTGTAATTAAATTATAAAGAAAAATTTTATTTTTTCAATTTATTAGAATTAGAAATAACTATATACCTGATTTTGTTAACATATTAGCTAAAACTAAATATTTTAAACACGTTGTACGTCTTGGACAACCACTTTCATCATAATTTTTAAATGCTTCAAAAAAGTCAGTATGTGCACGTTCATATTCTTGTTCTCGTAAATGCATTTTACCACCGCATTCTCGTATAACACCCATAATCAATGGATGTGGTATAGCCGATTTAATATGTAATGAACGTTCATAAAGTTGTTTTAATTTTTTTGTATTCTTTTGTGTTGTATGCATTTGAATTTCAAGTGCATAAACTTCTAATAATTGTGTACCTTTTTTTAAGTCATCTTCACCTAAATAAACAAGATAAACAATTTTTGCACCATAGTCTTACAATTGAAAGATAAGTCTTTCTCATCATGAAAACTAAGCAGTTTTCAGCACTATAATATTAGCATAGATAAAATGGAAATATATAATCAATTTATTGGGTCGGAGTTTTACAAAACCATCAAGTCATCAGCCATGAAAAAAAAAACGTTCAGAAAATGATTCTATCAAAATTGCTAGAGAATCAAAATACTGAACCAAATAAGACGTGTAAGCTTTTTTTGATATAGGAAAATGCTAATTATTTTATTTAAAATATTCTTTTCGTCTTGAGATTGAACTACGGATTATACGTGAACTACTAACTGTTTGTTAATTTTATTTTGAAACTATAGAGATTCGAAAGGTCATGAAAGATTTTTTTGAGAAAAATAAATGATCTAGTATTCAGAAATAGCCTGCAGAGTCCAAAATGAATCAGAAAAACCTGATTTGATTCAGGTCAACATTTTAGAATTCTAAATTGGTTCGATTCGACCCATTCCAATAAAAATCAAAGTTTGCTGCTCTTAATACTTTCAAACGTTTGTTTAAAATATACTGCTTCGAGTTAGAACACTGGAGAAGAACATACGTTATTTCTCTCACTATA